CAGCCCAAGCGCGAAGCCGGGCAGACAAGCAGCCTAAGGGTCAGGCAATCAAGCAACAAGCAGCACGAGCCCGAGCTTCGAGAGCTCTTCGTTGAGGGTAGAAACCTTCGCTCGTAGCTGACTAGCATGAAATCCATCCGTGCCGATAGGCAGGCCGCCAAGTGTAATCCCGCCAGTGACGACCTCGAAGTGAAGAAGTTGAGTCTTGAGACGGCGCTTAAGGCTCTTCTTCAGCTGCGAGAGATCAGGGTGTTGATGCCAGGAGGGGATGTAAACTTTCGACTCGCGAGGTTGAATCTCTAGCTTCAGATCAGCCAACATGTACTTCTTCAGAAGGTAAAACATAGCGGACGTAGCTGCAACGGCATCCTCGAGTGGACCGACAAGCACGACGTTGTCAGCATAGGCCAAGACTCGAACAGAGGGAAAAAGCTCTGCGATATGGAGGAGCAGGGGGTGGATACTGTGGCAGAAAAATACGCTGGAGGGGACATCGCCCTGACAGACGCCCGAGGTACACTGAACGGAGGCTGACTGACTTTTGTGAAAGAGTCAAAGGTCAGCAGAGTCTCCATAGTAGCTGGAGAGGTAGGAGGCGAACAAACGGAGATGCTCGCAAGAGGGCAAGCTTGCCCCTTCAGTGATGCTCCCATCAAAGTAGTCGCGTGGAGGCGCTCTTGTCTGGTGCCAGGCGCATGACGCCCTTGCGGGCGCAAGCACTTCTCGAGCCAGAGGACAGCTCCTCCTCGGACTTTGCCGGCTGTCGAGTCGCCCGAGGGGGAGTCTTCGCCGGAGGTCTCCGACTCCGATGGGGGAAACATCCAGAGTGGCGCCGACGATCGGCGCGGAGCTGGCGAGGCGTCTCCGTGCAACAACCAGCAGATGTACAGCTGCCCTGCTTCCTCCCCGGCATCGGTCGGGTCACGCCGGTCCTTGGGCATTGCCGCGGCGTCGCCGCCGTCACGGGCGGCTACCGCTGACTCGGCTACCGCTGACTCGGAGGCTAGCGAGGAGGACTACCTCGAGCGGTATCGTGTTCCTGTGTCCAGCCTCCCTCCGTCCGCTGCCGCCCAGGCGGACCCCCGGGCAACGCCGGCTCCTTGTCGGCGGCTGCCCTTTCTCCGTCCGCGGCCGCCCGCTTTGTGGCGGCAGCAGACGTCTCGACTGACAGTGGTCAGTCGGCTGCCTCCGGGTATCGCGTGTAAGGGATTTTCTTCCTCCTGCATGCTCCTGCTGCTTGTTGCTTGATTGCCTGCCCCTTAGGCTGCTTGTCTGCGCGGCTTCGCGCTTGGGCTGGCGATGCCGCGTCTGGGTGCCAGCAGTGCTGGTTCTTTTCGGGCTTGTGTTTTGTGTGTGATTGTGCAGCTTCTCGCTGTGGACTGTGTGCCAGGAGGTTTAGCTTGTTCCTGCTTTGTTTTGCTTGAGGCACTTTTTACCTTCTGCCAGTAAATCCTATGCAATCCTCATCATCACCGCGAGCGTGAAGGGGCAGGAGCGCTGACGCGGTTTGCGAGAGCTTCAGACAGCCGTCTCGATCCAGTCCGAACTGAATCGCTCGAGGGTGAGACGAGAGGAAGTGCTGGTCAAGACCCTCCGTCCGCTGCCGCCCAGGCGGACCCCCGGGCAACGCCGGCTCCTTGTCGGCGGCTGCCCTTTCTCCGTCCGCGACCGCCCGCTTTGTGGCGGCAGCGGACGTCTCGACTGACAGTGGTCAGTCGGCTGCCTCCGGGTATCGCGTGTAAGGGATTTTCTTCCTCCTGCATGCTCCTGCTGCCTGTTGCTTGATTGCTTGACCCTTAGGCTGCTTGTCTGCGCGGCTTCGCGCTTGGGCTGGCGGTGCCGCGTCTGGGTGCCAGCAGTGCTGGTTCTTTTCGGGCTTGTGTTTTGTGTGTGATTGTGCAGCTTCTCGCTGTGTGCCAGGAGGTTTAGCTTGATCCTGCTTTATTTTGCTTGAGGCACTTTTTACCTTCTGCCAGTGGCATTGTCGCCACTTAAAAAAACAACAGCGAAAGTAACCAGCACTGCTGGCAACTGAGGAGGACAGCTTGTTCCTGCTTTGTTTTGCTTGAGACACTTTTTACCTTCTGCCAGTAAATCTTCGTACACCTCGAGCGGTACCGTGTTCCTGTGTCCAGCTTCCCTCCGTCCGCTGCCGGCCCCGGCGGACCCCCGGGCAACGCCGGCTCCTTGTCGGCGGCTGCCCTTTCTCCGTCCTCGGCCGCCAGCTTTGCGGCGGGAGCGGACGTCTCGACTGGCATTGGTATTGGTCAGTCGGCTGCCTCCGGGTATTGGCGGCGTGTAAGGGATTTTCTTCCTCCTGCATGCTCCTGCTGCTTGTTGCTTGATTGCTTGACCCTTAGGCTGCTTGTCAGCGCGGCTTTGCGCTTGGGCTCCGGGCGATGCCGGGTCTGCTGACGGTTGCCAGCTGTGTGCCAGGAGGTTTAGCTTGTTCCTGCTTTGTTTTGCTTGAGGCACTTTTTACCTGCTGCCACCTCAAATGGATTTACTGCCAGTAAATCCATTGTCGCCAGCAGTGCTGGTTGCTGTGTGCAAGCCGGTTTAGCTTGTTCCTGCTTTGTTTTGCTTGAGGCACTTTTTACAGGTCAATGGATTTACTGGCAGAAGGTAAAAAGTTTCTGCCAGTAAATCTTCACTGTCAGCAGGGAGCCCACGTCTGGCGGTGCCGGGTCTACACCACTGGGGTGCTTGCTGCTGGTCCGAGCTCAGCGGCTCGCCTGCTTCCTCCCCGGCATCGGTCGGGTCACGCCGGTCCTTGGGCCCCATTGCTGCGGCGTCGCCGCCGTCACGGGCAGCTCCCGCTGACTCAGCGGCTACCCGGCTGACTCGGAGGCTAGCGAGGAGGACTACCTCGAGCGGTATCGTGTTCCTGTGTCCAGCCTCCCTCCGTCCGCTGCCGCCCAGGCGGACCCCCGGGCAACGCCGGCTCCTTGTCGGCGGCCGGCGGCTGCCCTTTCTCCGTCCGCGGCCGCCCGCTTTGCGGCGGCAGCGGACGTCTCGACTGACAGTGATCAGTCGGCTGCCTCCGGGTATCGCGTGTAAGGGATTTTATTCCTCCTGCATGCTCCTGCTGCCTGTTGCTTGATTGCCTGACCCTTAGGCTGCTTGTCTGCCCGGCTTCGCGCTTGGGTTGGCGCTGCCACGTCTGGGTGCCAGCAGTGCTGGTTCTTTTCGGGCTTGTGTTTTGTGTGTGATTGTGCAGCTTCTCGCTGTGTGCTGTGTGCCAGGAGGTTTAGCTTGATCCTGCTTTATTTTGCTTGAGGCACTTTTTACCTTCTGCCAGTAAATACACGTCGTTTTTCACTGGCTGATCGGCATGCCATGAAGATAGAAGTCGAGCATCTGATCGTAGCGATGCGGGAAAGCCTTGAGGGGATAGTAGCTCGAGACTCGCATCGGAGAGTGTCAAACTCTAGCAGGTCGAGGGGCGCGGCGAGGTACTGCGAATTTTGCCAACGGTGGTACTTCTCGAGGGCCCGGCCAGGTGGACAGAGAGGCATAGAGCACACAGCAACAAACGCCCCGCAAACAGGCGAAACACAAGACCGCGTTTGGTCGGCTCTTCGTTCCTCGGATGCCATGATGGACCAGGCTGCTGCTGAGGTCTTGAGATCATCGACCCGCGGACGGAGAATGGCAGCCGCCAATACGGCCGGAGCCTCCGGCGCTGCCTGCCCCCCCCCGGCCCGGTCCCGGCGCCTGAGGCAGCCGCTACACAAGGAGGCTAGTTCCAGGTATTCTGCTGCCAAGGCTCACACTCAAGGACACTGCTGGTGGGGTGCAAGCAGGCAAATGAGCAGCCGCATACCCTAGTGACGTTGAGCTCTGAGGAGGCAACCGACTCAAGAGACTTTCAGGTTTCATTGGACAAGAAGCCAGACATCACGGTCAAGGCCTCAAAGGTTATTCTCAGAGCTTCGCCTCCTTGCTTCCTATTCCAGCTGATTCCGAGCTAGACATATTTGGGAGTCCGAGGAGAGCGCGGACCTCGTCGCCTGTGAGCGTCTCCTTGTCGATCAGCTGACGACAGGGGTGAGGGGACGGGAAGGAAGGAGCACAGGCTCACATGCTTGGCGAGCAGATGAAGCTTATCCTCATGCTTCTTGAGGATCTTCTTGGCATTCTGATACGCCTGGTCGGTGAGTCTCTTCACCTCTGCGTCGATTGCCTTCCTGGTCTCTTCGCTGCGCTTCCAGTCAACAGAAAAACAGAGGAGAGGAAGAGGACCCAAGCTTCACCTGTAAGCCCCTTCCGAACTGTTTCTTCCTCCTCCTGTGAGATGCCTGTGCGCCACGTATCCCAATCGGTCGCTCATGCCCCATCGTTCCACCATGTTCATCGCTATCTGTGTCGCTTGCTCAAAGTCTGACGAAGCGCCGCTTGTCACGTTGTCGAGGCCGAAGATCAGCTCCTCAGCTACCCGCCCTCCCATGCACACGTCCATCTTCGCCATCATCTGCTTCTTGCTCCATGAGGTCTCGTCTTTGTCCGGCAGCTGCGTCACCATCCCCAGTGCCATTCCCCTGGGCACCACCGTCGCCTTGTGCACCGGGAGAGCTCCCTCTGTGAAGCAAGCTACGATTGCATGCCCTCCCTGCGCCACTCCTTTTACACCCCTCAACTCCTCCTCCTCTTCCTCTTCTTCAGCCCCTTCCCGTCCTCACCACCTCCCTTCCCCACTCAATTTCTTTGCAAGCAACCTCGTGGTATGCTGTCAGCTTCCTGCTCTCTTCGGTGATGACAGCGCTCTTTCTCTCGGCCCCCATCATGATTCTGTCTTTAGCGAACTCAAGATCCGCCATGCCCACCTGCCTTGACTTTCAGCGCGAGACCTGCCCCCCGCCTTTCTTCTCATACGCTCATTCCATGCCTCCTCCTCTCACTCTTGTTTTCCTTGTCGCCCTCCTCATCCCTTTCCCTTGCTGCTCCTCACCGTGGTCTTGTTGTCTTGCGAAGCCTTGATCGCAGCTATGTTTACGACGTTGGCTAGGTCAGCACCAGAGAAACCAGGGGTCCCTGAAGACCGTGAGAGGAGGCAGGAGAGACAAAGAGGATCAACGGACCTCGAGCGACGATCTCGACGTCAACGTGCGAGTCGAGGGGAACATTCTTGAGGTGAAGTTGAAGGATCTTCAAGGCGCGTCAGGGACAAGGCGAAAGGTTAAAGTTCATCGAGACGACCAAGAACGTGAGCGAAGCAAGAGAGAAAGTCAGAACGGACATGCAAAGCATCCAGGTCGGCAAGCACAAGCAGTTTGCAAAGCAGAGGACAAGATGAGAGAAAAGGGGAGGGGAACCTGAGTTCTGCCCTTCACGTCAGGGTTTGGAACGACGACGTGACGGTCGAAGCGGCCAGGACGAGTCAGAGCCTTATCAAGCACCTCCGGGAAGTTGGTGGCAGCGATGACCACAATGCCTCTGCCGATGCAGTCAAAGCAGCACATAGCAGACAAGAAAGGGAGAGAAGAGTAGAGCATGAGGGGTAGAAGAATCACTCGGAGGAGGAGAAGCCGTCCATCTCAGCAAGGAGCTGATTCAACGTCATCCGCATGTACTGCTGGTCCTTGGGGTTTCTGGTCGCTCCTGCGGCGCGTGAGCCGACAGAACAGACGGGAAGCGACACGAGAAGTCTGGCAAGAGGAAAGCGAGAGGAGTGGGGTCAAACAAGTGGATAAAGAAGAGGCGAGTGGAAGAGAGCAGGGCCATGAGCAAGTGCGACCGATGGCGTCGATCTCGTCGATAAAGATGATGCAGGGAGACTTCCGCTTGGCGGAGTCGAAGAGATCCCTGACCTGTTCATCTCTCAGTCCTTGACCCACTCCCCTCCTTCACCAACCCGTCGAGCGCCAACTCCGACGTACATCTCCTCGAACTCGGAGCCTGCGAGATGCTCGCGTCACTCGTCCTCTTCGTCCTCGTCCTCGTACCTGAGGCGTAGAAGAAGGGAACCCCCGCCTCTCCCGCGATTGCCTTCCACACCTTGAGGACATGAAACGTATCCGCTCTCTCACCTTGGCCAGCAGCGTCTTGCCTGTTCCGGGAGGTCCCATGAGGAGAACACCCTTGGTCATCTTGCCGCCTAACCTGCCATGAATGCTTCATCTGACAGCTCATGCTTCATCTTTTCCGCCTTTTGCTCACCTCGTAAACTTCTCGGGACTCCGCAAGAAGTCAACGATTTCCATAAGTTCAGCCTTGGCCTTGAGGCATGTCAGCGACGTTAGCAGGTCCTCGTTTGGCTCTCACTTCGTCGACACCAACTACATCCTTGAACGTTTTGCTGCTGTCCACCGCCTTTGCCACAATAAGCTCAGAGGCCTGAGCAGAAGCAATCCATCATCTCTATTTTCACCTGAGCAACGTTGGAGGAAGTTAAGCCGCGACTGATGCCGCGTTCCTCCATGATCGTGGTGATGCCAAGGAGAAGGAGATAACTGCGATCGACGTGAGCCCTCCCTTTCTTCTCTTCCTTCACTCACGCCATCGCTAGGGTTCTGACAGTGCGCCATATTTGCTGCTTGAATGAAGGCTCCGCCATGGAGATCAGCAGCGGATCCTTGGATGTACCTGAGCCAGGGGCAAGAGCAGCTAGAGAGGAGGTTTGCATTGAGGCTTAAGATACACTTCAGGCCATCTGCTCCATCCCTCTTCATCAAACAAGTCACCTGAAGGGAAGCGAGCATCGAACTGCCTGTCATCCTGCTGCCTGCTCGTGAGGTCTCGCAGCGAGTTCTCGTCGCTATGGAATTCAGGTGAGCCCAGACAACCAACGAGACTCCTCGAACCTCAAGCGCGCAACATCATGCAATGGCATCTTGTCAAGACGACCGAGAAGAACCTGAAGAGCAGTTGACGCTCACGCGCTACAAGTGAGGTTCTCTTACGAGGGCCTTGAGGTATTCTTTCAGCACTTCGTCATTTACAGCATATTTCTTCGATTCTATCCTTTTGATGACCTGCACCGATACAACATCACTGCCAGTGTCCGAGACTCACTAACTTACGGCTTCAGGGTCGTGATTGTTCAGCTTCTTGAGATACTCCGCTTGCCTGTTCCCCGTCAGCGCCTGACCTCAAGAGTTTTGTCGCACTTGTAAGGATCCGACGCGGACTTATCAGCTTCATCCTCAAGAGCTTGCAGATGTCGTTGTTGTGTCAGTCTGTCATCGTACCCAAGCAACATAGTTAATGGTAAGCGTGGACCTGATCGCGACTATTTCTTTTCGTACCTAGTGAAAAAGAAACGGGAATGAAGCAAGCCGATGGTCTGGTTCTGAAATGGCTTGAGAGTAACAGTGTGGTTCTGACATTGCTTGAGAGGGCTTCAAGTGCTTCAGCAATTCATCACCTGCTTTCGAGCCATTCCATGGCTCATGCTGATGGGCACTTGTCGTTGAACTGCACCTAGAACTTGGAAAGTTTTGACATGATCGTGGCGAGAACATCCTTGGCGCACTAAGAATCCTTTTCCAACCTTTTGGAACAGAGATCAGACGAGAGGCAGCGAGAGGAGAGGAGGGAGATGAAGGCGATCAGGGGATAGAGAACGATTGTCCTCAGCTGCGAGACTCTGGCACGACGAACCAGCAAAGGAAAGGAAAGGAAAGAAAAGACGGGGAAAGAGCTGACGGGGGAGAAGAGGGAGGGTGAGGAGGAGGGAGGATAGGAGGATAGGAGGATAGGAGGCAGGAGCAGGGTCACCTTGGCTCGCAGCTGCTTCAGCACTTCTCTTCCTCCCCGCATCGCCCCCATCATGCCGCAGCCGCGCATGACCAGCGATCCCTTGAAGCCTCACTTTTATGATATTTTATAACCTAAACGCACCATAATTATAGTGCTGTAACGATATCCGTAACGATCTTTGCGCCTACCCCAATGCTGGCGCGATTGTTGTTTCTCTTGCCGGCTCTTTCCGCGGCCTTCGCTCCACATGCTCTCACCGGCTCGTCATCTCTTCCGCGGCAAGGCCTTGCTCTGAGGGGCGTGTGCATGTCTGCAGGTCAAGAATCCATGTACCACAAGATTGAGACCATCTTGCAAGAGGGACTGAACCCTGTGAGTTCAGTAGCAGCGCTAGCGTCTGATGCTAGATGACACAGGCTTTCAAGCCTCTGATAGCCTTTTTCAGAGTAAGATGATTATTACAGACAATTCGCATATGCATGCTGGGCATGCCGGTGTGCAAGGGAGAAGCGGGGAAACACATTTTGCGGTTGAGGTTGTGAGCGAAGCATTCGTTGGTACGAGTAAGAGTCTCTGTGTTTGTTGTTGAAGTATCTTTAGGCCTTCGACCTGTCCAGCGTCACCAGCTTGTTTACCGTTTGCTCTCTAAGCAGATGGAAGGTAGCGAGCAAGTGTATTTCCACCTCCAGACACAGAGAAACTTGACCTCAAGCAGGTGGTATGGAGAATGGAGGGATTCATGCACTGCAAATTCAAGCTCGCACTCCCGAAGAATCCCAATCATGAAATTCAATAAAAGATGGGGAAGGATAAACTGTCAATGTTTGCTGACGTTAAGTTGGCTGATTGTTGTTAATTCGCTAATCATAAGAAGTAGCGAATTTTGGGGCTGCGGTTGTAAAAATCTGTTCGGCTTGTATTTGAAGCCTGGAGAGTACTGAGAGGAGCTCTTGCGAAGATGTTGGATGAGACTGCAGCAGTCTGACAACAAGTCACCTGCGCATCGCCATGGGCACAGTAGATACCTCGTCTTTGCAAACCTCTTGGCCAACACCTGCAACCGCATCGACTTATGTGCTACCATGACAAAAAGCAGCATGTTACGAGTTCTAGCTGATGTGAAGCCCGAGTTCAACGAAAGCGATTGATTCCTAATAGTCGAGTCAGGTCTCGACGCGTCTCCTTTCGCCTGCCTGTTTCTCGCCACCATCAGCAGCAGTCGCATCATGTCTCCACGCTTATTTTCAGCTGCCTGTCAACATGTAAGAGGTTTTCGTCCAGTGCTTCTGCTAGAGTAGAGCCAGCGTAGCACACCACGAGTAAAGGAGTCTTGCTCGCTCGGTTTGTGGCTTGTAGATCTGCTCCATACCTATCATACAGTCGTTCAGCATTGGTGTAACGATTTGCATTTAGAACCTCAAGAGCACGGACGCTGCATCAATGCTCCCTGCAAAGGCTGCAGCATGAAGTGCTGGAAGGGCTTCAAAGTCAGATGGCGGAAAATTCCAGTGAACAATTCGGTACGTGTCCGTTGTACAGCATCCTTCGCATCCACAAGGCTTGGGTTCGAACGGAGAATCTCTTCGCATTTGGCAGAGTCGTTTGACAAACATGCGGCATGCAGGGCGAGGACTTCTTGCTGTCGCCTACTGCCTAACCCCTGACTCTCAGCTTTCGTCTCTTCTGTCCTCTCAGGAACTTTTTTGACGATAATGTTTGGCTTTGTTTCTGCAACGTTGCATGAAGTGCAAGATTCAAAGCACTTCTGCATCTCTACCAAGTTCTCCATGCTTGAACTATCTTCTCCTGGCTTCGTTCTCTCCTCTCCTCACCCTCTTCTCGTATCTTTACACACTTGCCCACGCTTGAAACTTGAAAGTTTTGAAATCGGAGAACCTACCCCTCCCCCCACTTTAAGATGTACCCCACCCCACCATATACCTCTAAACACCCCTACTTTATCATTGAAATCCACCCCTCCCTAACATGCTATAGAGTTGTGCGACGAAGGAGATGCGGAGAAGGAGAGAGGAAGATTGAGATGAGAGAAAGGAAGAGGACATGATTAGGAGACAAGAGTGACAGAACATGAAGAATGTAGGCCAAGATCTATTCATTCGAATCGATTCAACTCATTGCAGTGAGCACACGTATGCTAGATCAGCACGGCTAGCAAGAAGCAATGCTGAGTAGGAGCGAAAAGCAAGCAAGCTTTGGCGGCAAGGGAGGGTCATTCTGATACTAAATAGTTGGATCCGACGTTGCCTGCATCCTTTGCGTCCAGTGCAATCAGAAAACCCTTCTCGAGCTTCCTTGCAAACCGATCGCCATCAAAGATTTCGCCATCTCTTCGCAAGTTTTTGAAAGCTTCTCTTGCACGGGCATTTGCTGCTGATGGCCTTGCCCTCACCCAGGCTCGCGTCAGGTCGACGTAGTCGTGCGGGTCCCTGGCTATGGCACATCCGAGTCGAGAGGCGAGCAAGAGGGAGGCTGAGGGCGATCGATGTCAGTTCCCCTTGCAAGAAGCCACGCACCCTCACCTGTCACTCGTGACGCAAGACTCGTGCCCGGCAGAGCGACGATCGGGACTCCAGACCACAAGACATCCACTGCGATGGTGTGAGCGTTGTAGAGCCTTGTGTCTAAGTAGACGTCCGATAAAGAGGTCCTCCTCATATGATCTCTCAGCGATGCTGTTCGATTCATAAAGATGATTCTCGCACTTGAAATGTTCTTCTGCTTCACAACTTGCAGGATATTTCTGCGTGCGGCTTGGTGGTACTGATACTTGACAAAGAGAAGAAATGATTGAGGGACAGACAACAGAATATGGAGCCACAAGTCCAATATGTCTGGAGTGATCTAGGAGACAAGTCACAATGACCATCGGAGACAAGTTTACCTTAAAGAAGGCGTTGAAACAGGCGAGGAGGACCCCGCTAAGCGGCAGCGAAAACTCTTGGCGGGTCGGTGGAGAAGAGAACCCTTGAGGCATGAGATCCTTCTGGTTGTTGATGAAGTGCGAGCCTGAGGCAAGATCAGGAAGGGTTTGATTCTGAGAGTCAAACCGGGCAGTACAAGTACTCTCTCGGATAGAGTTGCGGCATGCAGGTCAGGAGGTGTCGCTACCCGATCGGTGACGAAGAGATCGATCGAAGGTCCTCCAGTGGTGGCAGCGTAGACCATGTTAACCTGAACCTCCGTCATGAACACCATCTCCCTCTCCCTTCCCCTCCTGCACTCATTTCGATTGCCTGCATTTTTCCAGGTCGATAGATGAAAATTCCATGTCTATGATTGAGAATCATTCCAACAAGATCCACCAGAACGTCAATCTTCCAAGGACAAGAAAAGTCAGAGATGCGTGCAGGAAATGAGAACAATACCTCATGCTCGTTGATTTTGATCGCCATGTGGTAGTCTGACGTGTTGCTGAATTCAATGGCGCAAACTCGTTGCAGGTCGATGAACTCATCGGTCTCGGACAGGATCTGAAGACCATCATATGTCACCCAGCACGCGGGTCATCCCAGCACGCTCACTCTATCAACGTCCTCCTCCGAGTCCTTGTGATGATGCCCGTAGATGGCAAAACTGTAAACTTCAAATCAAATAGAGACGACATGTAGAGGCTCGTTCCTCTTCACTTCAAAGCGAGCTCTGTCGTGTGACCTCAACAACCCGCTCACCAATCCTGGTGGGAGTGATGGTCAGCAGATGTTGGGAAACAGTTGACAACACCGTTGAGGTTCCTGGTGGGACTGAAGTTGAAGCTAACGTATCCCACCCTCACTCGACGTTTCGGGCCCAGCAACGAGGACGAGAACTTGGCGACTTTGGAAGGGAACTGCGACTGACGAGACAATAGCTTCCAGTACGTGGAGGCTACCTAGGGTAGGGTGAGAGAGCGAGCAGCTGCTGAGAGATGTACTTGTTTGCGGAGCTCGTCGGAGATAGGGGCTCTCATCCCTTGCGACATGCTCATGATGTCCTGTGGCTGGTCAGGGAGGAAGGAAGCTTTTAGAGCTGCCTCAAGCACCCTCCTTCCTCGCTCCCAGTCGGCGAAGACACAAGCTTGCTGCAAAGCATCCCACCAACGAAACAAAAATTCCAATGAGGTCGCACAGGAAGTGGGCGATTCGTGATCGTCAAGCTGGCAAAGAGCTTTCATGCCTCGCGTGAGGGCCACGTAAGCTCCGTGAGCATCATCTTGCGCGACATGAAACCATGCGAGGCCTTCATACGCCACTTGTGTCTGCCCAAGGGTGGCGAGCTCGAAGCTTGTCCTTGCCTTCCATCTCCAGTCATCTCCCGCGTTCTCACGCAGACTTGCTATGGCATAACCAAGATGATAGTGCGCGGCCGGCAGGCGGGGCCTCAGCCTTAGGGAAGTCTTGAAGCATCGGGCTGCGAGGTGATAGAGCCCCCACGTCCGGTCAGTCGCCCTCTGCAGCAGCGCTACTCCCCGATCATGCCATTCGTCCCACTTGACCAGCTGATGACCTTGCACTCGTATCCCCCAGCTGCTCACGTCGCCCATCGGAGCCTGTGGGCACGACGGGAGCACAAGCGAGACATTGGTAGAGTGCTGAGCACGTGCTGAATGAGGGGCGGAGAGGAGGAAGAGAAGGCTGGCGAAAGAACACAGAGAATGGGAGGATACAAAACGAGCGGCACCGGAGGGCACACTGATGGCAGGATAAATGAGTGCAGACAAGCGGAATGGGACGAAGCAAATGACGAGGAGGAGGAGGAGGAGGAGGAGGAGGAGGAGGAGGAGGAGGAGGAGGAGGAGGAGATGAAGATGGTGATGGCAGTGGTTGTGGAGGAGGTGAAAGGCGGGTTCAACGTTTATGCTGAGAGGAGCGAATAGTTCTTGGAGCCCCATGCATGGCACAGCAGTAGCAGCCCAAGGAGTACATGAGGACACTATCTTCTATTCAAGTAGATTGAAGATTGCTGTCCTTATTTCAAGCCTAAAGACATTCCGAGGCAGACTTGTGGTCGAACTAAACTATTTTTTTAAAAAAGAGGACGATCCCTACCACGCCATTTTGAAAGAGATGGCGGCGCAAGGAAAGACGAGGAGTTGAACATGGCAAGAGGGAGCGAGAAAGAAGACTTCTCTCTTCGAGATGAACAATCTCATGAAATATCGTCGCTAGATCGACGACTGAATCGAGCAATGTTCGTCCGGTCTGTTAGTGAAGGGATTTCGTCTCAAGTAGTTCAGAAGTGCATCTTGAGGTCGTACGAGGAGGAACACCGTCTTGTGCAAGAGAATGCCAGGCTTGCTTGCGAAGTTGAAGGGTTGAAGGCAAATGTCCGATCAGAAGAAGTTTGGAGATGTCAAATCAAAGACATTCGAGAACGAATGGCCCTCTACACGGAGGTCATGGACGGTAAGTGCGATGCTCTAGAGGAAGGCACACAAAGGCTTGGCTGTCAGCTGAGATCGATATCCGACTGCCTGTCTGAGTTTATGAGCCACTTCTCTTGGATGCAGTTGGAAAACTATCAGCTCAAGCAGGCTGCTGAAACGTCTCAGCTGAAGGTTGCGAGTCTTGAAGCTCGAGCGGTAGAAGCTGAAGATCAACTCAGACAGGCGATGATGCAGCAGGAGGAGCGTCGCCTTAGCAACATCGACGTGGAGGCTCTTGAAAGACAAGTAGAAGAGAAAGACGCCAACATCGCCCGCCTGCTTCATGCCTGCGATACCAAAGACGCGCAACTCGCTTGGATTGAAGCTGCAAGAGTGGCCGGGGCGCAGGAGCGTGAGGCTCTGGCACGGGCCGTGAAAGAGCTTGAACATCATCAGCTGGCGCACTCTAGGTTGGAGGAAAAGAGGAGGGAGCTAGAGGAGCGGGAGACGAGGCTCAACACTCAAGTCGCAGCGCTGAGCGAGGAGAACTCGCGACTGAGAGATGAAGTGGCGGACATGCAGCACGAGAAGCTCAAGGAAGAAAGACGAGGAGCCGAAGTGAGAGAGAAGCTGATCCGATCTGAACAACACCTCCAGGACAAAGAAAAGCAAGCAGAGGAGGCGATGAGCGGTTGGGAAGAGGGACGAAGGCGGCAAGTTGAGTTACAGATCCAAGGAGAGAAGAGAGAGGAGGAGTTACAGAGGCTGGCAGCAGATCTAGATGAGCAGAAGAGAAGAACACGCGAGCTTGAGTCCCTCTTGTCGACATATGAGAAGAAGGAGAAGACGCTTGAAGAGCGCTGTCAAGTCTCCCTTCGACTTCTCTCTGACCTCACCGATAAGTTGAAAAAGACAGTGAGGGAAAAAGCGGAGCTGGAGGAGGCGCAGGGGAGCCTGGAGGAGAGGGTGGCGGAGGAAAGCTCTTCTCTCTTTGAGCAGCTGAGGCGAAGAGAAGGAGAGATCCGAAGGATCACTGACCAGCTGCTGGACCTGCAGGTCAAACTCCAACGAGCGCAGGAGGGCTACGACAAGCTGTCGGTGGTCTGCAAACTGAACGATCAGAAGCTGCTGGAGAAGGAGGAGGCGATGGTGGCGCTTGCCCTCAAGGCTGAACATGCTCTCCTTGCCTCCGCCAAGTCTGAGAGCCTGGCAGCTGCTGAGCTGGCGAGCAGGAGGAGCGTCTCTCAACAAGTCGCGCGCCTCTCTATGGCCCTCGAAGAAGCGACTGAAGCGAAGGAGGCGAGGCAACGAGAGGCGGAGGAGGAGCGCGAGCGAAGTCGCTTCTTGCTGCATCAGCTGACTGAGAGCGACCTCGTCCGACAAGCCTACCAGCAGGAGAAGCTCCGACGTGAAGCAGCAGACACAGAGACGCGCGCGTGTCGAAATGAGCTGACAAGGTTGCAAGAGAAGGTCGACGCCCTCATAGCCGATAATCACATGATGGAAGCGACAAAAAAAGACCTTGCAGGTTGCTCCTGCTCTTCTTCCTCCTGCTCTTCTTCCTCCTGCTCTTCTTCCTCCTGCTCAATGAGCTTCTCAAGCTCCTTCTGCTCCTGTTGGTCTGACAAACTTCAAGGTGCGAAGTCAAAGATCGACGAAGTGGAGAAGAACAACAAGGAGATGAGCGAAGCCTTGAGAAAGACTCGAGAGAGACTCGAGGCGACTGAGAAGAAGATGAAGGAGGTGAAGGATATGAAGCAGAGGCGCGAAGAGGAGGTAACAAGGTTGCGGCATCAACTGTTGACGTTTCAAGAAGCGGACAAGAACAGGAAGGAGGAGGTCCAAGAACAATCTAACAAGGTACAGGAGCTTGCAAAGGCGACGGAGGAGATGAAGTTAAGGCTGAAAGCAAGCGAGACAGCTCTGACCAAGGCGAAGGGAGAGAACTCAGCGTTGATGAAGGAGTTGGAGGACATAGGGAGGAGGAAGAAGGAGACGCAGAGCAAGTTGGAAGCAGAGCAGGCGAGGAGAAGGAAAGAAATGTCAGCGATGGAGATTGAGATGCATAAGACTCAGCTGCGACTTGAACATTCTTTGTTGCGGTCTAAAATCAAATCAAGCAAGTCGATGACGTGAGAGGAGCGGATCCAATGCGAGGATGTGAATGAAGGCAAAACTAAACCCCGAACTTCAAATCTTCAAACGCATGTTCTGTGTGCTTTCACTTGTCTTGGTCGTCAGCATCATCTTCTTCTCTCTCATCCTCGTGGTACTCAGTCAGCAGACGCGAGTCTGGCAGTCTGATCAGCTTCACGCGCGAGTCTTTCTGTCACCTTTACCGGCGTTTCCTAGAGGTTCAACTCGTGACAGACCGGAAGGATCGTCGAGAATCAAAGAGACTTGAAGCTTCTTCATCTGCCACAAGTGAGTCGGTCTGTGAGATTCTCTCTCTCTCCCTATCAAATGCAGCGTCTTCCCACCTCTCTCCTGTTTTTGTTGTTCCCTTACTAGTCAAATTTGTTTTCCCTCCCCTCCCCTCCCCTTCCTCCCTCCTATTCCATGGCTTTATCCTCCTATCTGGTCTAGTCTGTGCCTCATTCTCCTCTTCCCCTCATCTCACCAGTGTTTCATCCATCTTGTCTACGAAGTTCACAAGTTTCTTCGCAAACTCGTTCTGTCCTGCGCTGTCTCCTCCCGTGAACAATGCCGTCCTCTTCAGCGCTTCCAGAATCTGACAAACTTTCAACCCTCCGTCCCCTCGTTACTCCCGCTCGCCTTCTCCTCGTTTACTTCTCTTACTTTGAAACTCCTTCCAACTCCCTCCCGCCCTCACCTCTTCTGCTTCCAATGCCTCTCACTGCCTGCAAGCTTCTTCATTGCTACTTTGATCCTCTTGCCTTCTCCCGCAGTTCCTCACCCGTCACTCTCCTGTATTCACCGACACGCACTCAACCTCTCGCCTCCTCTCCTCTCCTCTCCTCTCCTCTCGCCTCCTCTCGCCTCCTCTCGCCTCCTCTCCTCTCCTCTCCTCTGACACATGAACCCCCTTCCTCCTCCCCTCCCCTCCCCTCCCCTCCTCCCCCCTCCCCTGCTCTCCCCTGCTCTCCCCTGCTCTGCTCTGCTCTCCTCTTCACTTCCTCTATCTCGTCCACAACCTGCCCAAAGAGCCCTTCGATAGTTGTGAAACTTGATCCCATGCTCCCCTGCTGCAACTCGAGCTCCAGCTCAGGGATCTGTAACTTGGTCAAAGAAGAAGGAAACGAGGGGAGAGGAGGAAGGGAGGGGAAGTGGAGAGTAGGAGAGGATGGGAGAAGGGGAATAAGGGAGGAAAGGAGGAAGGGGGTTCATGTTTCATCGGCTCGCTGCTCGCACCTTTAGCGACGCTTCTGAAGTTTTCAGCACCATCCTGTCCCAGTCGAGCGGGCAGGAGACGTTCAGTACGATTCGCACTCGTTTATCCCCTGTCTCCCCTGACTTGACCTGTTCGCCCGTCAGACAAGCCAGACTCTCGGTGCCCTCACGTCTGTGCTGCGATACCCACAGTTGTCGCAAACGAAGGACATGATGATGATCTGCAGCTCTTCTTTGAGATCAAGAAGCCTGGAGAATGTGGTGGAGGTTGAAAAGAAGATGGCATATGATGATGATGATCAGGAGGAGGAGGAGGAGGAGGAGGAGGATGAGGAGGAGGAGGAGGAGT